CTCTCTCTCTCTCTCTCTCTCTCTCTCTCTCTCTCTCTCTCTCTCTCCTGCAGGGTCACTGTGACACTGATCAGACTGAGTCATGAAAATGCTTACCTTGGCCATCATCATCTTAAATGCAAACCACTTTTTTCCTTTTCCTTTCCCAAGAGCCCCTTCATTTTCACTCACAAATTTCTTTGCTTCCCTGGAAAAAGAAAGGAAGAGGTGGGCAAACATGATGACATACAAGTAGGAGACATTTAATTTGGTTAGGTGGTCTACCTTCTTTCTTCTACACTCTCCATGCCCTCAGCAACTGAACCAAAATGGACTTTATAACTTAGAGATTTTTAATTTTTTTAACACAAGTGTTGGGCCCATGCAACATATTTTGCAATGCCCCCAATTCTGGGTTTGCACCTCTCCTCTTGTACACCCCTATTTGAACACCTAGATGGTGTCACTTCTGCATTTGTGTCAAGTGTGCATTCATGATTTTAGGCACTTTTGTAAAAATCTATCACCCAGAGACACTTAATGCATTTTTAATTTTTTTAAAAAAATTTGGTCTGGAAGATATATTTAGTCTCACTTATCACCTGGAGTCGTTGAAAAGTGGGGTGTTTGTGTCAAACGTCAAGATGGGGGAATCTTCCTTCCCATTCCCATCATATATAAAATTAAACCTGAAGTTTATGTCAGGTTCTGTCAACCAAAATTTTTATTTTGAAATTTTTTCCCTTTTTTAAAAAAATTTAAAGAAAGGAGGAAAAAGAAAATAACAAATAGTTGAGGACAAACTGACCTGGTATTTAATTTTATGACAGTAGTTATGGCTAAGAGAACAAAAGACACACTCCAAAACAGATAGGGTTGAAGAAGAGGAGGGAAGGGAAGAATCTGAGTCTCAAATTCAGACAGATATTTAAATTAAAGTTTAGCATTACTCCCAGATAGTAATGCATGTTCAGTACTCACATCAGTGTCCATTTAAAAGTATACTAAATTATAAAAAATGTATAATGGGAACATGTTAAATATATGTATTTTTTATTATTGTTAAATACTGAATGCTTGCTCCTCCCCACACCACCCTGTTGTTATAATTCCAGTATGTCAGAACATGGAGTGGCCACTTCAGGAGCTATAGCCCTGCATCAATGAACAATAAGGCTGTGTTCTAACAGAGACACATTTTGTGTTTGTCCAAATGTGATAAAGTGAATATGTAGAAACGCATGTGCTGACAACACCACCAGGTGATGTCATTCTGTGGGACACCATGGTATCTGAGGACATCAACTAACTATCACACAGCAAATGCCTAATTGAGCTGTGAAAGGGGAACCCATAGCTGGCAAAAGGGATTGCTATTTAACCATCAGAATTAGTTAACCTCTGTCCAGCATGTGAGGATGGGGGAGGTTAACAAGAACAGAACCAGTTGGATATGTGCAACTGGAATGGTGTTAGAATCCTGACTATGGATACCCAGCCAACAGAACAGTGAGAAATAAATGTTTGAGGCTTTTGTTACCCAGTCTAATTTGTTCTATCAACCCTGCCTGGTTGTTGTCATTTTGTTGTTGTCTGTTCAATGAAAACAACTTTAAAATTTGAGGTGGCTCCGGCTTCTCTTCTCTGAGAGACCAGAGTGAGAAGGACAATTCAAGCAGGTTGTGATTCTGCAGCTGTAATGCGATGGTCAGTTGGGTGGCCCCTAAAACTGTGGTTTTGCAGATAAGACCCTTCACACATAACTATGAACTTACTTACCATACAGAGTAAGTGTTTTAAGATGAAATTTATAGAAGGACTTCTATATAGGATGTTCCTTAGTATCCATGTTGAGCAAAGAATCTTATAATACATGTGATCAAAACTACCAAACACCAGCTATCTAATTTGAGATAGGAATAGACCTTCCTTATAAACACATAGGCAAGTGCCCACCTACAGTCTGGTGCACAAACACAAGCACCATGGTGAAGTCTCTTTGGTCAACAAACAACACCCAACACCTTCTGAATCTGAAGAGCAGGCCACCCCACCACCCTATGGTTTTGATCTTGACCATGAAAGGTACTCGATAAAATGATATGAAGCTGGCTGCAAAATTGTATTTAATGATTTCATTTTCCATGCTGACAAATGTTAAGAACATTTAATAACATGTTTAAGATTGTGCCCTTCATAATTATTCTTCTCTGAAATTTAACTGGTGATGTTCTAGAAATAGAGAAAAATTTGGGTCTAGCTTTATCAAAACTCTGATATTTGGCATGCCTTCTAGGTTGGGAAGGTTGTTTGAAAAATAATTTCTAAAGCATTTGAGACTTCTTATAATATTTAATAAAACAGTGTAAAAGACTATAAACTGAGCTTTCGTGACTTATTTTCAGGCCCATGCAGCAAAGAAAGCGTCGTGTTTAATCACTATTTCTTACATAAATTTTAAGACTAGAATGAGGGCAGTAGCTGGCACACACTGTGTAAAATGCTGAACCAAAAACTGTAAAATACAGGAGAGGTTCCTTACGTCCTAAGCAGCCTCTGTGACTTGACTCTGCAGCCTTGTACATGCTTACGATGGTGTCTGTATCCATGTTCATGAGTTCTGCTTTCAGACATAATTGGACCTCTTCAGGATTGCCACTAACTGGTCAGGGTCTGGCACATTGTGGCTGTTCCCACAGGTCAGGATTTCTCAATCAACAATATTTCAACAATCCCTTCACTCCTTCCCAAGGAGGTAACTGGAACCACAGGCCATACAGATGCTGGAAGTATTGAAGCCAATCTACTACAATGTTTACTTCCAAACACTGAAATTTGTTCTAACATGATTGATATTCCACGGACTGACTTAAACAAAACACGAATTTTAGCCTTGCTGGCTTATAATTTTATTCATGAAAAACACTGGTTGAGTATAGGAAATGATATTTATCAATGCCAAGAAGCATGGGAAATGCCCAGAATGCACACAGCACACCTCACTGCCTCACTTGACACTACTAGAAAAGTCATACCCACTCAGGGTCAAGGTGACCCTCCCCTCATACTTCACAAGCAGCAACCCTTTTAAAAACCACTTCCACAAGTAAGGTCCAAGTCCTTCTCAAAGCATCCTGTCATATGTAATGTAGCATTCATGCATTTCTTAACCATGAACCTGTTTTGAATACTAATGCCACTTTTCTCAAATTTCTTTTCATTTTCTTTTAATGTGCCACCAGAAATATTTCTGAATAATTGTGTTCTATCTGTGAGTTCCCTATAAAATTTGTGGTATTTATTAGTCAAGTTCATCTACTTCAGTGAGCTTTTTGAGAAACTAATTGATATCTTGTACTACTGTAGAACTATCATTCAATTATTTGACATCAAAAATTTCCAAATCTAAAAAAGCACATATATCTAGGAGTTATCATACCATTGTTTATTATAATAAATGCATATAGAGAACAAAAGGTACTGGGTAGTAAAATCATAATTTGTTATTCAAATGTAAGAAAACAACCACTTTATAACCATACTTTACAGCCAGTTATATCTATAAACTGTCCTGTGCTGCTTAAGCTTGTTGAAAGGGAACATTGGAAGTAAAGACACCCTGCCTTGTCTCCTCTAAAACCCCGTGTCCTAGTCCTAGGGCTGCGTTGCCCCAGCTCTGTAATGGGGAAAACAAAAAACAAAAACAAAACAAGCAAACAAACAACAAAAAGCAAGAGTTGGGGTCAGTAATAACACTACATCCTCAGGAACAATGAACAGGTTACCTTTCTAACAGAGATTTTGTGGATCTCTACTACAGAAATGTTTTCTGTGGGTAAGGGAAGCCAGGAGTCCCCCCCAAGGAGCCACAGTCCAGTCTGGAACTGTACCTGATCTCTTCAGCTTCCCTGGTTGACTTCTGCTGGATGTCTATAATGCCTTGAGTTGACAAAGTTACCTTGGTGTGCAGTCGATCAAGGTACTCTAGTTTTCTGTACTGGTTATTGCTTCTCTGTCTGCTACTTCTCTCTGCCACTATTTGTTCATCTACATTGCTTCCTAAATGCTAAAACTCATTCAGAACCAAAAGTTCAGCAATCATAGATCATTCTCTAAACTATAAAGAACACTTATCCAGCACTGCAGATACTTCATATTTATTATGAACCGCATTTTGTTTACATTGTATTTAGAACATTTTCTACATGAACGGACCATTAGAAAGAATGGATTTTTTTATCTAAGCCCTAGAAGTATAAAAAAAAAAACCTATTCTACTCTCTACTTGAGTCAAGGTTTTTAATTGTGTGAGTAGATAGTTATGCTAATTTTATGAACTGATGAGCATGAAATCAGTAAAAGTTGAGAGAATGAAGGCAATATTACAACCAAATTATAATCATTACAAAATTAATTTCAAATTCATTTAATAATATGAACCCATATTTATGTATCATTAAATAAAGATTTTCTTAGTTATTAAAGATACATTTTTGTTTGAATATTAGAAAGTTGTTTAATTGCTTTCTTTATTAGTTACTAATAGTTTTCTTGACCCCAAGTATATTCTTAAGTTTGTCTTTCAGTAACCATCTGTGGTACTTTGAATGGGAAATGTCCCCCGAAGATCATGCATGTAAGTACTTGGTGCCTAGCTGGTGGTGCTGTTTGGTGAGGTTATGGAAACTTTAGAAGGTATAGTCTTAGTGGAGGAAGACTGACATGGAGAGGGGCAGAGGATTTGAGGTTTTATAGCCTGACCCAACTCCTTCCTGTTCCCTTTTCTTTCTGTGTGTAGATGAAGTTGTGATCAGCCAGTTTCCTGTTCCTGCTGTCACACTTTTCCTGCCTGTTACCATGGCTTCCCTGGCATGATGTGCTCTGTCCCTCTGAAACCGTAAGTCAAAATAAACCCTTTCCTCTTTCAGTAGCTTTTACCAGGACATTTTATCACAGCAAGCAAAGAGCAACTGGTACAAACATCATCCTACTCAACTCTTAATATGCATATTTTGTCTGGTTTTCACAGAAAGTCCAGACTGCTGGGCATCACATAATCTAACACAAGTTCCTCTTTCTTCTAATGTCCTGATCCTTCTCTGTTCTCTAACACACACACACACACACACACACACACACACACACACACACACACCACAAGAACAAAAAAGATCCCAGACTACCTTCACTACCTGCTAGCTCCTCATGGCCAAAATAACTACTAGATATATTTATCAGAAATTCTGGAGGTACTTTAAAAACAGAGCCAAATGCCCCAAAGTGTACTGAGAATAACTGTTTACAAGGAAGAGCTTCTTCTCACATCTGATGCCTGCATGGTAACAGAAGCCTCATTGTTACTTAGAGGTCCAGAAGAGTGTACATGATCAGAGGATAGAGATGAAGAACACAGTGGAACAACGTTTCTTAACATTGTGTTTAAGAATGACCTTCTGCATGAACTGGTACAACTTTAGGGAAAAAAACAAAACAAAACAAGTACCCACCAATCAGATCCTCCCTGATAACAGATTTCTTAACCAAAAACAACATTTGCACTGTGCAGCTAGATACAAAGTACAAAAAGAAAATGCACAGATACAGAGACAATGTCCCTCAGAGTAAGGTGCCTGAGTAGATACCAGAATGCAGAGAAAATAGCCATTAGCAAACCAAAAATTAAGAAAACATCTTTATCCTTTTTCCTATAGTGAATTCACTTTCCTGTCTGTGTGTAGTTTTCTAGATTAGTTAAAGAATCTTTACTATATGAATAAAATGAAATTGTACTTCACATGTAAGCCTTGGATATCTTCTGATTGTAAACCACCCAAATGTCTGAGTGAAAGATATGTGCCAACCCCCTGAACTGCTTTCAACAAATGCTTTCTACCAAGACTGTAATCTGGTCTCTGGGTCTCAGAGCCCTGGTACAGTGTGTACCGCACTCTGGACTGTAACCTCAGACCTGGAGATGAATTATTGAGCATGGTCTATTTAATGACAATAATACCTGGCCTCATCATTCATTTATCAACCCCTTGTGATGGTAATTAGAATAATAAGGTTTCATGGGCTTTCGAGAATGCTTTCACAGTTACCTGAAAGAGCACACTTTGGCCTAACTTACAAAACAGATAATTTACCAACAGCATATGATACAGCCCTGAGTACACAGAGGAGTCAGAACAAGCTATTCTGCCTTTGGCACGTTCTCATCCCTGAAACAAGTTGCCGTTGGGTTAGGCTTAAGTTGACTTTTCTTTCCTCTTGCTTACAATTTGATAGCTTGGTGAAGCAACCAATTTCTTGCTCAGATAACTGAGAGACTTTCAAAACTGCTGCCAAAAATGTTGTTCATAAATACTTTCCAGGGAGGGAATCAGAAGAATGGAAGGTCTTTTGATAATAAGTACTGACATTTCAAAACTAATTAGCCAAATTATCTATAAAACTCAGACTTTTATGAAATATTGATGAGTAATTAAAACAGAATTACAGAAGTGAGAAGTCGCTTTCATACACCATGATGAAAAAATAAAGACCATAAACTTCCTAGATAACATATGTATTACATATAAATACAATTATATATAATTTAAATTATCCTGATTCTGGAAGTAATGAGTCAAGACATATATTACTTTAAAGGGGATCCTATTGAAAATAACAAGAATAGTTGAGGTGCTCAATAGATTCATCTACAAAATGGAAATGACAAAGAGGACACTTTGGAAGGTTCTCATAGCTCCCACGGCAATACAGGATGCTTAGCTTAGTTCGTGACAACCAACATATGTGCTATAAAATAGTAACTGGTTTAACAGCACTTTACTAACAGGCTGACTTTCCCTCCAGTTTCCTAGTACATAATACAACACATTGCACAAAAATGAATTTCAACACTTCTAACTGACTACATTACCATTGGTGAGAGCACTGGATGACGATCGAGCAATGGTTTCTGGATGCCCGCACCTTGGCATCACTGTTGGTTCTTTAGCAGTTTCCAGGCCTATGTCTTTGCAACCTCAGATCACTTAAGTTGTGTTCTCTAGAAGCGAGATGTGGGTCAGTGTCTCTCCAGTGTCCCAAACAATTCATATGTGCAACTTAGAGGCAATATCTGGTATTGAATCAAATATCACTGGCTGAGACCACATTTAAGAGAATTTCATATGGTAGACTAATTTTCAGATAGCTGTGCTGATAAGCTTCAGTATATTTCTAACTGTTTTGATGTGCCCTTGGGGAAGAAATACTCTGTATACTATGAGTCTATGTGAAGAAATTCATTTTCACATCCCTAGCTCACTATCTCATAATGCTTAAGAGAAACCATTTAACTGACCATCTGATAGCAAGCAAAACTGGAAAGAACCACAGGAATTCATATGCTTTCGTATAACGTCTAGGCTTCTATAGCTGGCTTATTTTAGTATACTTTTAGATAAATCCCATTTCACGTTTAAATATATGTGTTTCAGACTTTCATGGCACGAGATGAAAGAGTTGGGACTAGCGACTAGAACATCAAGGGGCTGGAGGCTGCATTCAATACCAAAGAAGGTTTCTGCCATGCAGACTGCTGAACTTCTGGGTCCAGCTCCCAAGTTAGCTTTAGTTGCAGTTCCAAACATCCTATGACCTCTTCTGGCTTCAATGACCACTTGCACACACGTGCCTGGTTTTGGTATTTTGTTTGTTTGTTTTATCTCACTTTCAAAAACAAAATTTTAAAAGATTAGCATAAAAAAGAATGGCAGAGAAACATGAGAAATCTATGCGGACATGATAAGAAATGGAGCATCCGGGGCAGGTTGCCCTTCAGGCAAAGCTCTGAGCCTGCACCACAAAACCCCATGTTATGCAAGTAGGAGATGTGAGAGACTGTCCTTTCCTTGAGGACTTTTTACCCCAGCTCACTAGCCTACTCCTGTTCTCAGGGATTCTCCTTTTTAATAAATCATCTCTGTTTCTACTTATAACTCTGCGTTCTTGGTGCAGTCTTTGTTCTGAGAGTCAGGAACATGGAATTTGATGCCCTCTGAACTTGGGCCCATGGCCTATAACTACTCATGTTTTTCTTTTTCTTCCTCTTCTCTCTTTTTGGATGTTGAACAAAAGCCTTCATTTGCATTCTCACTCTTTCTGTGAAGTCCCTCGTCCTTTCCCCCCTCCTTCATTCATATAGCTGCTTGCTGCTCTCTACTGCTGAACACACCTCTATCTGACCCTAACCAAGGGGTGTGACTCTCTTCCTCTCCTCTCTCTCTTTTAACAGTTGCTGGCCTTCACATCTCATCTGATATGTACTTTTTCTCTGAAACTCTAATAACACTGCCTTCAAGCATCCTTCTTCGTTCATTTTTAAATCCTTATATAAGGAGACAAAGAGCCCCAAAGACAACAGACAACCGCTATTCCCCAGTAGACCAATGATCTTTAAACTTTTTACTGGCAACATGTGAGTGACCTTCCAACGTGCAGGACTCTGCTCCTAGTCAGGCGGCCATCTTCAAGAGTTCTGTTGGATCTCATTGCAAAGACTTGGCACAGCTGGACCTGTCAATCTTCCCTCCTAGGAGTGTTGGCAGGTAGGACAGAGGTGGAGAGGGTCACCTTACTGGGGCATCCACCAACCACTCACAACCAGTTGCATCTAATTCTGCCCTAATTGAATGTAGGCTTGGGGCTTGAGGGAAGCAGTGAGAGGATTGGGGATAGGATGGGCAAGGGTTTCTACCACAGGAAAACCTTTATCTCTGGTGGGTAAGGCTTTCCAGGAGTGGTTTATATGGGGAAGAAGTACTCGTGCCCCTGTAAGGAACCCCTTATCCATGCTCTGTGAGGAAACACAATAAACTCAGTAGTCCCTCAGCGTGAACTGTAGTGAGACTGTGCTCCCTGCTTATCTTTGGAACCTTAGGAAAAAGGAAGATACTGCTTATGTTAACCCCTGCCCCCACAAAAGAAGTCTAGAAAAACCTGCACTTAAAAAGTTTTAAAAGTAATTTTTCCCTGACACTAATAAAACACATGGAAATATGTTACAAACAGAGCTTAGGGTTAGGGATCGAAGTTACTGTAACGGAAATATTTCAGATTTAAGATATATGTTTTTGTCTCCTAGATATACTAGTTAGTTCTGTGTCAATTTGGCACATTTTAGGGTCATCTAGAGAGAAGAAATGTCAGCTGAGGAAATGCCTCCAACAGATTGGTATGGAGATGGTCCTAGCCCACTGCGGGCCATGCCAACCTTGAACTGGTAGTATTGGGTTGTATAAAAAAGCAGACTGAGCAAGCCAAAGAGAAGAAGACAGTAAGCAGCACCCCTCCATGGTTTCTGTTTCAGTTCCTGCCTCCAGATGCCTTGAACTCCTGCCCTGATTTCCTTCAGTGATGGAATGTAACCTGAAAGTTGTAAGACGAAATAAACCCTTTCCTGCCCTGGTTGTTTTGATCATGGTGTTTATCACAATAAGAGGAAGCAAACTAAGATGCTGAATCTCTACAATAGTGCTGATTTTCAGGACTGGTTCAAATGTCAAAAGAAAATGCAAGTTTTATTTGTACCATGAAGTCAGCCAAGCATCTCCGGGCAATAGGAGATGAAATGAAGCAATAAAAACAGAGGTGGGGTTTGTGTTTAATACTTTAAATATTAGAAGATAATCTTTCTGTTTGTAATTAAGTTTTCCTAACCCTATTCTGTACCTAATTAAGATTCAATTTATATCTTCTAAAGAATTCTTTGTATTACCGTAGCAGGGAACAGAACAACACACATTCTTCCCCTGGAGCTAAGTGCCTACCCTGAGTTCCAAATATTGTCTGGCATTCCTCTGGAGAAAAACACCAAATAACTATCAAAACTATTGTCAGCAGGAGGAACTGAAAGATAACAGAATACAGTTCCCTAAAATATGTCACTTATGTGTATGCCATAATGTGCAAAATATTGTAAAATGTGCAAGAACTAAAACAGGACAATTTTGAGCTGAAGCAAATGAAAAGCAACAAATATAAGTTTTCTGTGCCCTTATTTGGCTAAAAACAGGGAAGACAGCTAAAGATGTTTCCCCCATTCCCTACCTTTTATCAGTTCATAAGGCCCAACTGTGAATTTTACTATCTGGACCATATCTTCCATTGGGTCATCATGGTAGCTGATTTCCAGTTTGCTACTCTATAGTCAAAGTCTTTTCTCCTATTCTTACCTTCTCTAGACATGTGTCCTATGATTAAGATTCGAAGTACACACTGGAACCACTCCTTGAGTTATTCCTCACTCACTGGTCATCTGTGCAAGCTCAATTCCCACAGCAATAAACTTTGTGTTCCTCTTGCTAATGTGCTTTTGGTTAGCTTCACTTACAGAGTCCAAGTTAACCAACCTAACAGTAGAAGGAAAAGGAAAAGTGTGGGTTGTTTTCTTCTCTATATATAGCGCAATATAAACCAGATTATTGACATATAGTATGAAAAACTCTACAGTGCTGATTTTATAAACATCTCACTATATACTTTTACTGAGTGGTATAACAAGGTTTTATGTCTATTTGCCCCACTGCTGTTGAGGCCTTTTTTTTAAATGAGTTCCTTGAAAATGAGGAAAGCAACATTATATCCTAAAGGTTTGGGAGTATAGAGCTGTGGAGTACTGGATCAACCTCTGAACCATCTGTGACATTCTTCAGCCAGCTATCATGAATCTGATGTTTGAACAGAAATGAGGTTTTGTGAGACTGTGACCCTGATACTACAAATGAGTCTTAATCTGAAATTCTCAAGATGAAGGCAGTAAACTTAAGACATTACTGTAACTGCGCTCACCAGCCAAGACTTTGCCAAAGGGTAGTGTTTGCATGCCACTTCATGGAGAGAAAATTATCCCCAGCAGCAGGCATACCACACTGGGGCAGATACTGCTCACCCCGCTGGGCAAGAATGAGACCACTACCACAATTTTTGAGCTAAATTTGAAGCAAACTTTATTAAATACTGTTGGGACAACCAAGATTGTTTATAAAAGTAAATGTGGCTTATTATCTTACATGAACAACAGCCCCCAGTATTCCAGGAAGTTATGTGTCCTTGGGCAAGTGATGCTTACAGGTTAGGGTGATTGTTTTATAGATTTCTTAGGCACAGTAATTTAGATTTAAATTATAACTTTAGCCAACACAATACTTGCATATGTATAACCACAAAGCAGATGCCCTCAAATTCTAGTCAAGACATTTATTTAACTCGTGTGTGTGTGAGTGAGTAAGTGAGAGAGAGAGAGAGAGAGAGAGAGAGAGAGAGAGAGACATAGAGAGAGAAAGAGAGAGAGTGTGTGTGTGTGTGAAGCATTCAGTGCAATGACACAGTGACAAGGCATTAACGCGGGTGCTGGGAATTGAACTCAGACCTTCTAGCAGAGTAGCACATGATCTTAACAGCAGAGTCATCTCTCCAGCCCTTTATTTAATTTCTATCATTGTTTCATTTTCTCTTCTATTTAGTCATCATTTCTTCAGCATGTTAAGTGTTTGAAAAATCTTTTTAAAACCTGGAGAATTCTTTCTGTGATTTAAACTATACTAGGAAGAATGAGATATAGGCTTGTAAAATGTTTACAACAGTAATTCAGGGGCAAATACAATGGAGGCTTTAAATTGTGGGCCATGCAGTAGACATTGTAGATAATAACTGAATTGGAAAGTATGAGGCTGATAGAATTCGAGTAGGAAGCAAAAGGCATTCTAGGCATTGGTTTGCAGGACTTCTCTAACAAAGGTCGTATTTCCACCATGAGTGACACACATCCATAATCTTAAATTAGTATTCTTATATTAATATCCAACTCTCTACAAGACCATGTATATGGCTTGAAAAAGAATTTACTTATTCTGATTCAGGCATGTGCTTTCTAATTAAGCATTTTTTCATAAATTCTGAATACTGTGAAACAGAAGCAATTCTCAGGACGCTTCCTGTGACAAAGAAGCATTCTGCATGGAAAGATTGGCAGAATAAATACTTCACCACAATACCAATGTGGTCCTATGATTATTTTTTTAAAACATTTGTAAGAGTTAAGGTTTTCTTGTTTCAACTTGTGCACTGATGTCTGGGACTACTGGTTCTAAAATGTTCCGACAGAACTTTCCATTATCTGTTAGAACTATGTGTTCTGTATTTTGGTTCATGAGTAGGCAAGCAATTTAAAATGATATTTTCAAAATCACTGTAGTCCAGTCCATCTTGCAAGTAATCAGGACTGCCTGGTGAATCTGATTGATCTCAATGTGACAAATTCAGAAGGGAGAGCCATCCTCTTTAGTAGAACCAAAGCTTAAACAAGGTCATCCAAAGAGTACACGAATCCTACATGAGCTGGGCTTTCTGATGAATTAACTTGAATTACTGCTTCACTGTGTTCTTTCATGGCTTTCCCTCTAGACTATCCTGACCCCTATGACCAACTCCTTGCCATTAAATACAATAACATTTTTTGCAAAAGTCTAAAAATTAATCAATAGGAGTCATAAATCTTCATGTGACTGTCAAAGTGACTATATGAATGATTTATATATGTAATATATCAAAGTATATATGTAAACCTATGCATATATATATAGTGACATTATCAATACAGCTATTTGAAAACAATGATTCATCTTATTTAAAATTTTCTAATTCTTGTAACTAAAGGATGGAAATCTTAAACATTTTATACTGGGAATATAAAATTATTGCCATTTCTCAATCTCATCTCAATTTGTAATGATATTATAATAATGTTCTCCAAACATGTATTTTAGCATGTATATCTTAATAAAGCATAACAAATGTATCATCCAGTAACAACATTCTTAAAGACCCCCAAAATAGTACGTCACTTGCCATTGCTTCCTCTTGTCCTAAAGATATTATAAGCTGGATTATAGCTACAATGTATGCCTTACCTGAGATCAATATAAGATTTTCCAATACA